GAATAGATTGGGCCTTCAACACCATCATTTCCACTAAAATTGAAGGAAATAAATAGTATGTGAAAGACTTGCCAACTGTTAAATTTGTGAAAGTAAGTTTTGAAAAACCATGGCATATATTACCTAAAAGAACTTAGGCACATAAAATAAAACCAATCTCACAGTACCTAGAACTATTGTAAAATCACAGTTTATTGTCCACAGTTATACCCATGAGTGACTTCAAAATGCTTCTAATATAAAAAACCTACACAACTCTCACAATAAAAGACTAATATTGGTATTTGGCAATATTTGGTAATACCAAACACTTTCTATTATCCTTCTAAACTCTGACAAAGAAATACCAAACAGAGGAAATGCAGACATTTGAGATAACACTGAACTAAAGAGACAGTGTTCTAAAGTTTGCCTTCATAATAATATGTCAATGTAATTAAATAAGTGTAGCTGGAAAACCATTGTAGGCAAATAGTTTATTCCTATGTCAATCTTCTTCTATGGAACAACTTAATATTTTCGGATCTTTGCAAATACAGAAGCATGGAGAGTTAGTTACATTTTTAAATCTGTTTCTGGGTTAAATAATTAAGTAATATCAGACAATGTATCAAGCTGCATCTAATCTAATAATAATGAAAGTCTATGAGTTCTACATTTTGTTAGGTTGGACACAGTGTTTTAACTATATGTTAAACTTGCATAACAATTTATGACTGCTTTCCAACAAGAAAAATTATTCATGAGTAGTTGAATTGACACACCATAGAAAACTTAATCCTTTCATCCTGAATGTAGGAAAAATAGATGTGTATGGATTCTGCCACTAAAACGGGGTGGAAACCACACAAACAAGAAGGTCCCTTTTGTTTCTGGAATAGCTGAGTGCTATTCAGAGGGGCTGCCCTGCCTTCATAAACATATTGAAAATAAATGAGTGCTAATAAATTTTGAACAAACATATGGAGAACCAAAGCTAACCTACAGCAGTTCGAGTCAACAGAAGATTTTTCTTGACCTAAAAAAGTATGAAAATTGTGCCGAAATTATTTTTTGGCAAGAAGATATTTGTCAGAGGCTAAATTCTCAGTAAATATGAAGACAAGTGAAAAAATCAGTTTCAATAGTGTTGTTCTGGCTTTATACCACTTAAAAATACGTTTTACCATCTATCTTTCTCTTTTGTTACACCTCTTCATGGCTCTTTGCTAATATTAAATGAGCAATATCTTTCCATTCACACCTTGTAAGGTTGTTCTCCCTCAAATATTCCCTCTTCTTCAAAATAAATCTTATCTTTCAGGATTTTTTTCACTTTAATGAGTCTAAATATATCATGGAACAATGGTAATTTTATGATTTTTCTCTGAGAAAAAGAAGACTGTACTTCTAAATTGTTTCTTTTCATCACAAAAAGACAAAAGTGAAAGAATTGGTATCCAAAGTAATTAGCTATAAATATTTTCTTATAGGTAATATGGTGTAGTAAGTACAGGCATTTGTTATTTTGATGTTTAAAGCTCTCATTGTTTTTTGCAGCTAAAAATTATTTTTAATTTATATAATAGTTTTGACTACCACCTCATAAACCTAGTGTGTCACCAGGATATTTCCTGTTCTCTGTTTTGGTCATGGCTTATTGTTTTTTCCATTATTAATATGTGTATGTGTATGATCCACTTTAAAAAAACCCACAAAAAACAACAAAAAAAAATACCCCAAAGCACATCTATAACCACTAAACCAAAATAAGCATGAATGTATATCCTGTGATCATGTAGCTAAGAAAGAAAGGATTGCTCCTGGAAGAACACAAGTGCCCTCAATCCCCTCAACCCCAGTGTAAACTGAGAAATAAAAGCACCTCTCAGGGTTAGGGATGTAGTTGCTACAGAAAACACTTCCTCATTTTGAGATGTCCACAATTGCTGTTACATTGACTGTTAAACACACTTCAGCATAGACGCCTCTGTTGGACAAGTGTACAGAACTCCTAATTAAGGAGTTTAATTTTTGCCACAAAAGGAGCTAGATTGTAATGGCATCTTTTGTCCTATGCTTAATGAAGGGTGAGGTATTGTTTAAACAATTAGCAACACTGCTGCAAGAGAAGTAATTAACATAGCTTAACACCCAGAGGAACACCAGTCGCTGTTGTTAATATCAACAGTGTGTCAATTTAAAAAGAAAAATCACAAGAGTCACTTGAAGTGGTTAGTTTTTGTGGTTTTTTTAAGATAAAGTTAACCACACATTTTTTTAATTGATACACTATACTACTGGCTACCTCATTCTCATTCTTTCAGAATTTTTTTACAATATTTTAAAGATTTTAAAGATATATCAAACCCCACGTATATTAAAAAGCCACCGCAGTAATACAGCAAGCAACAATCCATTTTCTCTAGTGGGGATTTTCTAATCTATTTGAATATTTAATTTGCCAATGGTGTGTGCACATTACCTGTAAATTAACAAAGACCATCTGCAAGCACATACCTAATATTATGTTAGCAGAAAGACCAGTGATTCAAGAAGTCATATAACCATTTATGAAGGAAGAAGAGGCCTGAAAGTGAAAAGAGGCCTGAAAGTCTTGTCCATCATCTACCAAACACTGGTGTGACCCGGTATCGTTCTTTCACTTCTTGCAGGGTAAATGCCAATCTACAGAACCGAAAATCTCATTTTCCGAGATTGACTTATAAACCAGAACAAACTGCTGAGACAGAAAAGCTAATGGGGAAAGGGAAGACATAGGTTTCGGATTACCTTCTTATGAACAGAGAATGGATGCTGGATCTGGATGGGAAACACCTAGCCTACCGTTCCTGGAGTCAGAGCATAAATGTGTTGTAATCGCTGGCATAATTGCCATGACTGATTTCATCACTGGCATTAGCAACGTGAAATAGGGTGCTTCATGACAGAGACAATAGGAACAGGATTTCACAGAGACTATTAATTCTCCGTGTAACTTGTTTTACACAGTGTGGGTACGAAGACAGTCCCCATCTCAAAAGAAATCATACAGATAATCATAAATAATGCTAGGAGTTGTCGGTATGAGGCAACTCGGTAAGAGTTATTTGACCTAGGTCTACATTAACCATTAAATTAGTACTTTAATTAATCTTCAAGAAGGCTGGTGGAACGTACTTTATTAAGCTTCTGCCAGGTTAGCTAAAGTGGGTAACATCCAAAGCAAAGGTTATTTGTGTTTCTGAGATGCACCTTCTTAAAGCCTAATGTTTAAAGACACTTTTTTGAACAGGCATCTTTGCACAGAAGAGCCACAGATTGTGCAAAAATACCCTCATCTTCTTCATAACTATCTGCAATATTGAGTCAAAGATATCAAGAGAGAAGACATGCCTTTTAAAGTCTTCTTTCAAGACTTACATTATCTATGTACATTAGCACTAAGAAACATTTATTACTTTTTTAAATCCACAAAAATACACTTATCCAGTATTTAATGTTGAAGGTATTTCATGTTAAGTCGTCTATTCCTACTGTTATAACCTTGATAAACCATACACTGTTATCTTACTAAATAGTAGCACCTGTTAAGGATGTAAGCCCACTAGATTATTAAAAAGCACTGTAAATCCATGCATCTTCTATTCATGTTTATAGCTCACGCTCAGCGTTATCAATGGATAAAGTATTAAAATAACAGATCAGTTTAGAAAAACAAGAAAGCAAAAATAACAACTCCTCCTTAGTAAATAACATCTTTAAGAGACGCGAGGAAGCTATTGGGTCCAGGTAGAGAAGTGTCTTTCATTATGTTAATATAATCATAGAATATGATTATATTATGTATAAGTATGTTTGCATATTCATAAAGGCAAAAAAACCACACAGAATGTGTATGTAGATTTTACCTGCAATCACCTAAAGTTATCATAGACATGTGTGCAGCCACACATTTTTATCTGAAAGGATTTAAGTTAGTTAAATCTAACAATTCAGTTTCTTTTCCACTTTCAAAATTCTGTGTGAGAAGGCTGGCAGATAAGCTTTGCTTTCCATGCCTGTGATTTCTTGACTGCACTCCATTTTTGAAAATCCCCGTGCACACAGACACACACAGACTATGTGGAGGGAGCAGGTGGAGGTAAGTGTGGGATGCCTAGTTCCTGCCTTGGCTCTGCAGCAGCACAGGAGTTGGCATGAGAGAAATGTACACCCAGGTGGATGGGAAGCCACTCACCTTGGCCTCAGTATTCAGCAGGAGCTCTGCCTCCACCATCAGCCCCAAGAGCCTCGAGAGAACCCTGAGACCTGGCTGCCCACTGCTACCTCACCCAGGGCATCCTGTGCAAGGCCAGGCTGCCAGAGACTTCCAGCTACCTGGCAGGACATGTGACAGAAGCTTGCCAAACTGTGGGAATGCAACAAGCTCAGAAACAATTCTGGTTTTGTTTTCAGGACCGCACTGGCTGCGAGGATGGTGGGAGGCAGCGCGGGAAGAGCGGAGCCAGTGTTCAGTTTCCCTGGCTGGACAGGCAGCTGGCATCCCTGAAGCCAGCACAGATAAATGCATCTCCTGTTAGTGTTGATATAAAGGGCTTTTCACAATGAAAGCAACTTAATGAAAAATAATCAACAGCAAATATATGCAAAGAATGCCTGACATTTCAGTCAATGCCTGTGTATGTGCAGTCAGCACTATACCTTGCCAGCTGCCAGGAATAAAGCTGCAGGTACATAAGGAAATTCACCTAAACAGTAGTATGTACTACACACTCCTTATGATAACTTTAGAGAAATCAAAGCATAACTGAGGAATTTTTCTTAAAGAGAAATATGACAAATTTTAAATGGTGATGAGCAAACACATACAGATGTGGATTTGTATCTCGTCTGATTAGAGATCGCACATTCACCTTTCCCAACCCCTGCCCGAACAAGGAATTTAGCATGCAACTGAAGGGTACTTTCCTTCCCAACCACACACTGCTTGGCTAGGAAAGTTGATAGATAACACTGACCTTTAGCTTGTCAAAACGGTCACTTAAAGCTGCCACCTGATGGTCACGGTGTCGCCCGACCAGTTTACACAAGGCACAAATTAACTGGTCATCAGTCACGCAGTACATATTAACTTTCTCATCCTCATGCTCCAAGCACATTAATCCCCTGATGTGGGAGTCCGGGATGGGCTCGATGAGGCGGTGGCCAGTGAACGGCTTCTTATTGGGGTGAGTGGCTTTCAGGCACTCCTCACAGTAGGACACCTCGCAGGTAACGCAGGTTTTCACTGCCTCCTGGGCAGGGTCTTGGTCACAGAACTGGCAGAGGACCTTCTCGCAGGACGACATGCTGTTGTTATCAAATGCCCGCTCCCGGCGGGTCTCGCTGGGGGAATTGGGCCCGCTGACCGAGGCTTTCTGAAACCTGTCGATGATGTTCTGCAGGGTGACGTTGCGCTTGAGCCCGTCTAGACCGCGCTGGCTGAGGGTGATGACATAGCGGCAGGTCGGGCACTGGAAGGCGGTGATAGACTCCACCGGCTCGTTGGTGGCGCAGTGGGAGACCAGGATGCGGTGTGCGCAGTTGAAGCAGAGGCTGTGAGCGCAAGGCAGCAGCAGCGGGTCTTCAAACAGCTCCAGACAGATAGGGCAGGTCAGTTCTGACTCCAGTGTTTCCATCTTCAGGCAAAGCTTTCCTGTGGCGTCAGCGAAATCCAGGGAAGCTGATCAGCTATCTGGAAACACACGTAAAATTCGATTAGGCAAGAGAAAACATGAGGGGTCAGCCACAGGGGGTTGTCAACTTTCGCCACTGCTCCCTGATCTATCAACCCACCACGCCAGGCGGGAGAGCAATCAAAAGTTTTGAACCTGCACATGAACAGAACAAGGTATTTAAAACTGGACTGTTTTATTTCCCATCCTCCCTTTTCACTTAAGAATGAAAAAACACTAGGCTGCCTTCATTTTTTTTCAACTTTTCCCTTTCTCTCTCATGCAATCAAGAAAAACAGCAGATGTTTCTGTGCAGTATTAAAACCCAAAATTATGATCTTCAGTCTATTACAGCAAAATAAGATTTCTTCTACAGATACTGCTTTTGGCTTCACTTATCTATTACCAAAACTTTTTAAAAAAACCACTTCACCTTTGTGCAAGGATTAGTCCCTAGTATTATAACTGATAAATTTGTAATCTCTATTACCATTAACAAAGTTATTTTATCAGATTGAAATTTTCATTTGCTGCTATAGAAATAGCGTGGAATTTAGAGTACATGTCTGTCTTTACTTGTGTAAATATATATACAAATATATGCACAAGGAATAATGTTTCTAGGGAAGCATGTGACAGTTTACATATAATATGTATGCATGATATATATCATATACTAATCTACTTCTCTGTATTTCAAGAACATATACAGCTGTATTTTTGTGCATATATACCTGTATACACATGCCAAAAAATATATCACATGCATGTTTGCAGTAAGATAAACGTAGCCAGGGAAGCACACAGTGTCATAACTGAAATGCCTAAAGAAAGGTGAATTAAGTAGATGGCAAAAGGTAGTTTAGCCCAAACTTCTGATGATTCTAACCTCTACTGTATGAAGAGTCTCTAGACAGTAAGACAGTAAAGTGCAGTGAGATAGTGCAATGTGTGATTTACTAGGAGGAGTTTGTGCGTATGACTGTGGAAGCATCACTTTAGCATGAATACTCTCTACTGCTAAAACATATGAACTACTGCCTGCCTCAGTTAACTTACTGAACACCTGAAGTGGAGTTGGATTAAAATCAATTATTTTTAAATGAAGGTCATTGAATTTTCTTGGGAAGGTAGCAGTACACCCCCATCAGAGCTCAACTAAAACTTCATTTTGCTTCCCTTCCTGCGCTCAGTGTTACAGAGAGTGGTTTTGAAAGAGTCGCCCTACGCAGCTCTCCCTGCCTAAGCTCCTGTCAAGGGCCCGTCGCTGTCGCAAGCAGACAGGTCAGTGAAGCAGAAGCAAAAGCTATGCTTCACACTCACAGAGCTGTACCTCTTCACAGTACAATGTATTTCAGCTTTGTTGCTCATAACTGAGGACGGCTTCAGATGGCACAGCTGCATAATCTTTACACTGTAAAGTCATTGTTCAGTTGTGTGAACTCTTGACTCCTCCCCTGACCAGGGAAAAAGACAGAAGGACGAGAATCCCCCACAAACAAACCTTGATTCATTAGGGGTGAGAAGAGCTCAGGGCTCATTAGCAGCCTTGGGAACCAAGCATGCTCGAACCTTCTGTACTTCATGACAATTAGTGTGGGGAGCGTGGTGGCAGTGACAGGAATGCTACCTATAACCCCAATACGAACCAAAGCAAAAAGGAAAGTTCAGCAAACAGAGACAAGGTTCAGACTGTCCATCGGTATTTAGTCCTCCTTGCTGTGTGGGAAGAGCAGCAAGGCGTCTGTTCCAGAGGTATGCTTAGAAATTAGGATACTTTGCCTCTTTGCGCTAATGTGTCCTTTTATTCTGCCAAGAAATCTGAGCATTTAAAAAATGCGCTGACCCTGTCATAAAATTTGCTTTTCTGTATCTTCTGTGATGCTGATCTTACTTGAAATAAAGTTGTTTGCCAAAGACTAATTCATTTATAACTATCCATCAGCTGCCATAATTGCATGGTGCATCTGGTCAAAATTAAACGTCTGGCAATTTAATACAATCAGGAAGACAGCTCCCCTCTCAGCCATAGCCATACAGCACAGAAGAGATGAAAGCCTTTTCTGCAAATGAAGACCAGTTTGTCTCTCCTCCTCTTCACTCTCTTTCTCACAGGAGTCCCAGAAGATCAAAATCTCATTCACATTGTTTGAATCCCTTCCACACCACAACTGTCTACCTCATCATCCACTTATTCTGTAAGTTTAATGCTGCACTGGAGAAGGGGATTTAGGGTTGGCAAGAGGTAATGTTCAAAAAGGCAGACTAATAATTGTTCATCTATTATTAGCATCCCTGTGAAAACCTGGTTTCTTAGGACCATGTTAAGTGTATAGGCTTTCTTGCACGCTAATCTTTCTATATAAAATTCCTCCAGCTTTTTTGTGTGCCAAGCAGTTTCATTCATTCAGTTTCCTTCTTAAAGCACTTTTTTTAACCAAAGGCATTTTTATGGTACTCATATAAAAGAGAGGTACAGATAAACAGCTAGAAGCAGCAAAAAACATTTGCATCATTGCCTCATGGAAAGATGTTTGAATCATCATCAGGGCTTGACACAAATACCACCATCTCAACTGATGACTAATTCTGATCTATCTGACCTGAATGAGCAGCAGCTCAGCCCTAACTAATGCTATTCAGCATGAGAAAGGGTGCCAAAATCTGATCTCAGACTGTAAATGTCTTGGAATAAGAGCCTATCTTCCAAGGTAATCAAAGCTGAGCACACTGAGAGAAACCAAAAAATTACATTTCCCTGTTTTCTTCTGCAGTTGCAAATAAGTCAAAACATGCTACATCTGGGACTGAATAATGAGTCCTTTGAGAGTCACCGAAGAGGGGCTGCATTTTCTGGGCAATCCAATAAGTACTCTTTAAAGCCACTGCAATTCTGCTTTCACTTTTAAATTGGTGTCTAAAGTATAGATAAGTGTGCTGATGATCCAGCTATAAAATCTTTCAAACTCACTGGCCCTTGCCTTAAGGTTTCATATTGAGGTTAGTTATTTTTTTCCTTGGGAATGGTAGAGAATCCATGGTTTATATATGCACATGTTTGTTGTATTCCATATTCAACATAACTTAAAAATTGAAAGCCACATAGACAGCCTCCAGACACAGAAAGGAAAGAAGGAATTTCAAATACATAATTTCCTGTTTGTAAAAATATGGCATTACTGGCAGAAAATTATACTATTACCAAAATGTCACTGAAATGACAAATATTATTTTTCTACTCACAATAGGTATTTTTAAGAACAGATATCAAAATAAAAATGATTGTCAAAACAAGTGTTATTTAAAAATCAAAAATATACTTAAGTAACTTTGAATTTGTACATCTCCCCAGGCACATAATGATTAGTTATATACTATGTTGCAAACATGCAGTAACTGAAATCCCACTATCAGTGTGGTTCGCTGCAAGACTTTTACTAACACTAGTGGAATTAGCATCCCTGTGCCTCTGGTTATAAGCACGACATATTTTGCAGGTGGCATTAATGTCTTCGTTTGCACAGAAGCACACACAAAAGTTTTCAGAAGTAAATGGGTGAGAAATTAAAACAAAAGCTGAATTACAGAAATTTCAGTATGCTACATACCACTAGAGCTGAATAGATAAAAAACTATTTCGTAACTGGAAGCAATTCTAAGCTGCAAAAATGCTGTATTACAGTTTCCCTTTATTTTATACTCAAAAAATTGCGGATCAGAGATACTACCAAAAGTCCAGAAGGCTGTTAGCATGGAACTCAATGACACCCTAGTAATCAAAGACCAAATCCACATTTCCTGAGGAGGACATCATCCCAGGGTCCACTATTCTTTTAAATATTTCTATTTGTAGCAAAATTTGGCAATTTGGTGGCAATGATATCAGCTCATGAAGGCTGACTCCTGATTTTTCATTGCTGGGAGTGCCAGTGTTGTGGATGGGCCCTATGTTTTAAGTACAGAAAGCAGTACATAGAAGCAGTAGGACAAAAATGCCAGGAAGCGTTGGTGAGGGGAGACTTCCATGAACCAGAGCTGTAAGCACTTCCTTGCAGGGAACAACACACCTCTATATTCTGAAGAAATCACCTGACCTTGGAAAGATACTGCAAAGCACACATTGCTACGTAGAGCTGTTCTCACAGCCAATACCTGTACATGTCTCCTGTACATCGGCTAGCACTCTTTCTGCACCCAAATGCCAACCAGAAAATTGCAATTTATGTCCAAAACAATTATCCTGCTAACCTCCTAAGGAAAAACCAAAACATCCATTAGTAATAAAATATGACCTGGTAAAATAAAATACCTCAAGAAAGAAGATTAACACCATTCTTTAAAGTTCAATCTGACACTTCAACCTAACTAGTAATGGACTCTTCAACTTAACTAGTAATGCTCACCAGAGAGGTGAACGGTGACCTGACAAGGTCTTTACATTTATCTGTTTTTCAGTGGCACTGACTAGATGATCAATGTTGATCATTCTTTACATTTCTTGTATTAACAAAGTAATTGCAGTTTGATGTCGCCAAAGAACATTCTTCACCTTAATTCAGCACAATTAACCTGGAACATTGTATTGCTGAAGTGTTAACGTCATGTCTGAGGTAAAATGCCTACAATATTGTATTGGGTTGGTGTGGAAGGATTTTGGTAGCTGTGGGGCTACAGAGGTGTCTTCTGTGGGAAGCTTCCCTAATATCTGTCAGAGTCAATGCCAGCCATCTACAAGAACAATCCACTGCTGGCCAAGGCAAAGCTCAGCAGCAACAGTGGTAGGTAGCATTCTGGGATAAAAGATTTAGGAAGGGGAAAAAAAGTTACTGCACTGATGCAATTGCAGCCAGAGAAGAGGAGAGTGAGAATATGTGAGAGAAACAGCTCTGCAGACAAGGACAGTAAATAAGGGGAGGAAAGGGGTGCTGCAGATGCAAATTTCCCTGCAATCCGTGATGAAGACCACAGTGAGGCAGGCTGTCTCCCTGCAATCTGCAGAGATTCATAGTGAAGCAGATAT